GGATAATAAATAATGTTAAAATGTAATTCAATTGACATTATAACATTCTAACAAGTTACTTATTTTTACTATAAAAACATCTTATTTCCCATCTGGATGTATTTGATTGATAACAGTAATATTATTTCTGAGTGTACTTTATCTTATAGTGATTTTATTCAAATGTCAAGTCAACTTTTACTCATGTATATAAATGAAGTAAGAAAGTTAAATGACTACCTTGATATGATTATGAGCAGTAAACATTACTGTATAGCACAGTGTGATTTCGTCCGAATAAAATTTTATCCATAATGAATATATTCAATTATTTTGTGTTTACATGAACCTTCTTGTTATAGGTTTCTTAAAATGCATCGAATAGTACTCAGAAAATTTATCCACCCTTTAACAATGACCAGAAATTACCACATGGAGATTTTCTTCAATAGAAATTAAATAGGGTCCTACAGTAAATTTAGCAAAGTATCACTTCTCATAATTATCTGGTATCGGTGATTCATAGATATTTGGCGTACACAAATCGTAAACACATTCTTTTGAATTTAAAAAAAAATTTAAATCCCCGTCACCTTCGAACATCATGGAATCTAAGCATCAATACAAAATGGTATCGGATTACTTTCTGAGCACATATTTTTAATATTTGTAGATGATCTTTTACTTCCCCAAATAATTACGGTCTGTAATGTGCTTTCTGTCTCTTCGACGGTACAGTCTATGTTCGGTATACCCATTATGATGTAACTTTTAATATAACTAACCCACGAATCTTAAGATAAGTCATGTGTATGCATCAGGACCTAAAGCACCTAGATATTTACTCAGGGGAAACTACTTTTTGAGATTTATTAACAATCCTTTCTTATTTTCCTCAGATGAATTAGTCGACCTCTGATGGTATATTGACTCCTGAATGGGAAGCTTTGATGATGCTTTTGATTCCGATTTAGTATTTATTTGTCAGAGGGCTTTTAGTGATAGAAAGTAGAAACCACTGATTACGGTTCAATAAATTAATTGGCGGAAAGTCTACCAACAAACAGCTACTGAACAAGAATTAGCTTCTATAGTCTGTTAGCCTATCAGACAACACTTTGTGCTGTTTCAATGATGGGTGCTGTATTAGAGTCACTATGGAAGCACCATCAGTAACTTAAATACAGTTACAAACACCTGATGGATTCAAATAGGACAAAAAATGCTTGCTTGAGCCCATCACCAGCCTGCACTTACCAAATGACATAATACCTTTTGTTTAAATAACATTACTGTTCACTGAACTAAGCCGGAGTAATCTTATAACAAAACTTTGTCCAGATAAGTAATAATCAGATTGGTTGGAGGATTTTATCATGAGATAACATCAGTTAGAGAACCATTGGGAACCCTGGGAGTACTCGACAACTGTTTCGTCCAGATATGAGACTCCTAATCAATACGCATCCACCGAGATTTGATCGCAGGGCCTTCTGGTTACAAGGAGAGTGAGCTCATAGACGGTTAAGCCACTGGGGTTTCGATCCAGTGGCCCGTAAATTCTGTGTCGTAAATTGGCAGAATTGATGTCAGTTCATGATGAAATCCTCCATCCAATCAAACAAAATCCCTACAAAACCAATAATTAATAATCAAATTATTGTTACTTCTACCTTGAAGTGTGGATATCCGACTGTTTTTGGGTTTTATGGGTGGTTGACTGGTGTAAACATTACTCCCCTCAATAAATGATACGAACCGCAATGCCACTGCGACTAATAAACACAAGACAAATAAACTGCTCCTGTTTAGAACTTTCCTGAAGTTGACTCTTGAGTATATACAGCACTGATTCAATTTGTAGCATATCTAGAAACTTCTTCACAGGTAGGTATATATGCTAGTTGAATTTTAAGGTACAAAACTTGTTCAGTAATTTGGCCTCAGATATACAATGACTTTATTTTAAATCTTATAGTCTGAATAAAAAATTCCCGGCTTAAAAATATTTTGTATTTGGTAAGAATGTGCCTAAATTGGTCATATAATATACAGATAGCCGAAACAACAAAATATCACCAAATTTTAAAAGTACAGTTACATCAAACATCTTATACTGGACACATATATTTTGGTCCCATAATAAAATATTAATGCTTTTAGCAAAATATTCTTAATGAGATTCTACTGAAAATGGTCATTATTATTGTTGTTGTTATTATTATTATTGTACCTTTTAGGCATGGAGGCCATTAAAAATGACCTGAAGTTAACTGGAACTATTCTGTTGTGAATTAATATCAGTTCAGCTAATATTATTACTTTTTCATAGAAAAATAAGCTGAAAAAATCACTCAACTGTTTAAAAATAAACTAACTACTTCTAACTGTAACAGGAAAATAAACAAATGTAACAATCCTTCATGTTTTCATAGGCAGAAGGGTAAATAATATTTTATAAACAGCTCATTAGTACTACCTTTCTCTCTAGCATTATATATGTATATATATATATACATGTATATTTTCATATGTGACTTTTTGTTTTAAAAAACGCAGCCTATTGTGAACTCTCTCTCTCTCTCATGTTATCTTTAGTTGACATCATAGATTTGTTTGACTCCCACCTTAACTACTACTAATAATAATAACAATAACAGCAGCTTCATTCTCGACAAAATGTTTACACAATTTACAGAATTTTCAGCCTAATTTACTGCAGAATGCTTTCTCCTCGATCTGAGGCACAAACTAGTCCTTAATAGCATTTTTCCCTCGTCGTCGAGAAAACTGCACTAGTAGTTTGAAAACTAATTAAAAGTGTGCGTGAGTATATTTTGCAACCCAAGGACATAATTGAGTAGTTAAAATAATAGGAGTCAAAGAAAATAAGTTGGAGTATGTTGGATAGAAATTCGGATAGACCACTGATTCAAGCGCTATGCCACCACCAGTCATCACAAACAGGAAAATTATCTGTCGGTGTCTAAAGGTAACAATGCTTAAGTAGGTAATTATTAAAGATAAAATAATTTACTGTAAATTACTGCATTTTTTGACTACCTCTAAGTATCGCAAATCATAGAAGACTTCTGAACAAGTCCAGTCCGTTCCAAAGAAAATACTTCTGCTTAATCTAGAATTCATAGGTGACATTGAAGCAGAAATCCTTGGTAAATGCCTCTGCAAATCACTGGGGAAAACATACTTCACCGCAAGCCTACAACTGACGTTTTCCTGCAAGAAACTGTTCAGCCAGAATGCGAAAGACAAGCTGTCTCACTGGGCCACTTTAACATGCATATACCAGTTTACTAGCTCGTGCGGAGCTGACTACGTCGGCCTTGCCATGCGCCAACTTGAAAAAACGCGCTTGTGAACACTATCCAGCCTGATTAGTAATAGGAGAACGAAAACGGGTATATAGTTCCGTGACAGAACATATGGTCAGTTCAGGACATCCAGTGCCATTCGAAGAATCCTTCAGAATCACATACAAGATTCGATCAAACCTATCAAAGGGAGTAAGATTAAAGCATCTGGGCATAGCCGAGGCACTAGCTATTTAAAAGCTCAAACCCACGCTTTGTATACAAAAGGAATACGTCCAACCCTTGTCCGTGCCATGGCCATCATGAAAAGGTAATTATTTTAGTAATGACCATCCCATTACCTTTCTTATCCAAACTTCCCGTTTATTCATGTTATTTTTTATTATTTCGTCATATTTAATCCCTAATTGTATAAACAATTATTCGTCACATTAGTTATGATCCCATTAGATGTTTTATCCAAACATCCTGTCTACTTTTGTAATTGCACAATATGTAAGTATTCCCAATAATTATGATGCGATCACGATGCTATTCAAGGTTTTCCAATGGTTCTCTAGCCAATGCCAGCTCATGATGAAATCCTGTAGCCAAATTATGATGTTACTTTGTTTGAGTTTTATCCGTCCCCTGTTTATTAATTCGTAATTGTAATTTTATTAAATTGACTGCAAATTATTCTGGAACTTTCCCACCCACTTATCATAAACACGCGAATGTACAGCCCAGTTGATGACTTCGTCAAAAAGAAAATTTTCTTCGTTGCAAACGTCTTTTTAATACTTCAAAGTCGAATTAAGATTTGGTAGTAAAGTGGGACTAAAATACTGTTAGCTTGAACATTCTTAATAAACCCTAATTTTAAAACAACTATCCAACATACTGATATTTAATTCAATCCGTGTGTTAATCAGAACAACAATGTTTTTTTCATCATTACTGAAGTCGTGCATAAAAAGCATCATCAAATTTCCCTTCGCAGATGGAAACTTTTAGCAAGCACAAAGAGTAAGCAGTTTATCGTACTTCAGCCAGGAAAAACGTTGAACTAATGGATGCGTAAGCCACTTGAATAAGGTATTCTATTAATGACACTGGGTGCTATCAAGTTGCCAATCAATCAGTAAATAAATAAAGACTTTCTGAAATACATTAGTAAGAAATGCTAATGTCAAGGAATGCTACAGTCAATAAGGCATCTATTACCTGAAAGTAACTCATAAGTTTGTATGGATAGTTTCAGAATATCAGATATGCATTTCACCACGTACAAGATGCCTTACTTTGAATAGATGATAGAACTACGTATTAAAACCTCTGCCTCAACAATGAATACTTTCCAGCATATAATATACATTCAAATAACTATTATTTTTCAGTTTCTAAGTGTACTATGTAAGGAAATCAGAAGTCAAGTATTCACAAATTTAGATATGATGGAGAAGATGTGTAGCTCAGGTGGATGATACTTCAATTTGGATTATACGCTAAAGATGTCGCCTAGTAGGGTGATGAAAGCTTCGCAAATTAACTATCCAGTTCAGAGAACACAACCACATCAAAATATTCACAAATTGCTTGACAATTCAAACAGTCTATCATATATATTCAAGTACTAAGCATTACTGATTAAGGCCAGATAAAAATGCTAAAGTACACATGGGAATAATAAGACCATGGATGACTTACCGCTCAATAAAAGCTTTCATTTTTTCGTAAGATACTTTGTTTTTCAGTTCAGTCCAGTTAATGTATGAATATATGAGTCTACTTAATATGCAGAGTATCAGATGTTAATTTGATATTTTTAACAGGAAAAATTGAGATAAAGATTTTTTTCCCTTTAGTTCAGCATTTTAAATTGCCTTTTTATTAAGAGCCAGTTTTTAAAATGATTTGATACTTATGGTCAATATCCTATTGGGTGAATTGTAAACTACCAATCAAAATACAGTTAATAGTAGACTAGTATCTGTAAACAAAATAGGTATTTGTTTTGATAGATTCATTGAGAATCAATTAAGTATACAGACTGATATCTTCTAGATAAGAATTTTAGTTCTAAATACGTCACTTAAGTAATTTCAATGCCTCTGTAATTTATTCCAGAGAAGAAAAATTAGAATGAACGCCTGTAACCAATCAACCAAATCCCTACAAACCGATACTTGAATATCAATGAGATGCTCACTGGCGACTGCCCCTTTTCAGGTAGGTAGTTACCTGGGTTCCAGTGGGAAGTCGTGACCAGTAGGGTACAGCAGGTCGGGTGTGAGGACAAATACTCGCCGAAGACATTGGCTAGCGGTTGCGCTATGTCGTGAATTGGCAGAAGTTAGAATTCATGGGTCATTGGATCGGGTCCCAGTGGCTTAATGGTCTACGAGTTCCCCTTGTAACCAGAAGGTCCTGGGTTCGAACCCTGGCGGTGGGTGAGTACTGATGAAGAGTCTCAAACTAGGACGAAACAGCTGTCCAGTACTCCCTAGAGGTTTTCCGATGGTTCTCTAACCGATGTTAGATAATGATGAAATCCTGTAGCCAATCAACCAAATCCCTACAAACCAATACTTGAATGTTTTCAATAAATTATACTTCAGCCTGTACAATTATAAATCTAGTAAATTTGGTATTTATATAGTCAGTGAAGGCAAATTAGAATTAAAACGGAAAGTTTATTGCGATGAAATAATAGTCGGTGAGTTTTGATTATGAGTTAATCGTAAACACATTAGTGTGTAACCACAAGAAAGACGATATTCGGAGAACTTCTTTTTGAAAAAGCACATGTAACCGAAAGATAAGGTGATATTGGATACGGTAGAGAAGTCACATGGGTGAATTCACCGCAGACATTCGCAAATGTCAACTTAACAGATGGATTGAGAAAGCATTCCCTGCAAATAAACTGGTACTCAGTTTTTCAACTAGAGCAGTATTCACACAACGAGTTAAGGACGAATTACCAATGATGCCCTCACCAATGTGCATTTATGAATTTAAATGCTTCTGCGGAGCTAGTTGTATAAGCCGTAATCAGACAGCTGTATTCACGTACTCACGTGAACATGTACCCGCATAATTGACTAAAGGAGAGTAAATAATGCAGTCTTAGTCTACTTGAGAGATACTAGAAACTCAGTAAAACCTCAGCAGACGACTTCAGTGACCTATTAACACCATGGTAATATATTTAGAAGAGTCAGACTAGGTCTTGGATCAGTAACTGAAGCGATAGCCGTCGCTTACAGAAGACCTAGTATGTGTATCCATAAGAAGTGTAATCCGCCTTTTTGTTTACCTTAGCCTACAGTAAGGTCGACAATTCTTTCATAAACACTTATAATTAATTATTAGGTGTTGGTTTGCAGGGATTTCATTGGTTGCAGGATTGATTAGCGGTTGCACTAAATATATATCACGAATTGGGAGAAATTGGAATTCAAGGACAATTGTGTCGGGTCCAAGTGGCTGAATGGTCTACAAGCTCGTCTTGTAGCCAGAATGTCCTGGGATCGGACTCCATTGAGTGCGCACTGGTGAAAAGTCCCAAACTAGAATGAAATAACTGTCCAGTACTCCCTGCATGTTTTCCAGTGGTTCTCTGACTGATGTCAGCTTGTGATCATTCCTGTAGCTTGTAATTAAGTTGAAACCTCAGTCCCCTTTTCGTCCCCTTAGTTTCTTATGCAAACGTTTAGTTTAGACTCTTTACGATTTAATGACCTTTCTTATTATTAATATCTATTATCCTAGATTCACGCAATGCTTTGCAAACTATAATCATATTCACACAGTCTTTTTCATTCTTTATCACCTGATAATCGTTCACTAATAGTACTTTTTTATTCACACCACACCATCGTTATTTTATTATTTTTACTTATTAATTTGAACAAGGCATTAAGAAGACAAATTTCGCGAGATGATATCATTTCGTAGTTTCTTTACAACCGCTTTACAACTAACATGGTTAACAATGATAAAATAAAGTTCATGAAAATTACTCAGTTAAATAAAAACAAAAGTACATACTAATGACCAATCATATTAAGATAGGTCATGCAGTCCAGGGTAGGCGAAGATTGAAGTCTATTGATTTTTGTACACACAGTTTAGGCTGTATGTGATTAATCCAAAGTGCTTCCATCACCTTCAATAACCTTGAATTAGAGTTATGTGAAATAATTGTGAAACAGTCATTAATATTTATTTTGTGACCAGACATTAATAAGTGTTTTGCAATGGATGATGCTGGATTTCTATTAAGATTAATCGCGTTAGGATTTTCGATATGATTTACTAGCCATTTTGGAATATGTTCTTTTCGACGACATTGGAACATTCTGTTAGTTCTACCTATATAGGTGTCACCGCAGCTGCAGGTGAACTTGTAGATACAGTTTGAAGTAGAGTCCACAGAATTTCGTCCTTTAATCGTAGGAACAGGGATCGAAAATGTTCGGCAAGTGAGAAAAAGAGATGCGGCGTAGAATGTGCGTTTGATGGCTGATCGAAGTCTTTGAGTTGTCAACTGCATAATCTGGTCGCCCTTGAATGGTAGATTAATAAAGATGGCTTTCTTTGGTACAGAAGCTGTCTTTTCGAGATGTGGTTTTTCTTTGCTGTGACAAGTGATAAAGCTCTCCGGATAACCATTAGCTAATAAAACTGAATGTACATGTCGAAGCTCATCCATCAGTGTGTCACTCGTGCATATTTTTCGGGCCCTTGAGAACAAACATTTCACTAGGGAACGTTTATACTGGATAGGAACAAAACTGGTAAAATGAAGATATTGTCCAGTCCATGTTTGTTTACGAAAAATAGAGCGCTGAATCGTTCCATCATTTCTCCTAGTCATAGTAATATCCAGGAAACCGAGTTTGTTATTCGATTCTAGTTCGGAAGTCACTCGAATATTTGGATGAATATGATTAAATAGAGTAATGAAGTTTTCAATAGATTTACTATTATTACCAATAATAAGAGTATCATCTACATAACGTTTATACAGCATAAATCCTCCAAGCATACCTTGCATTTGTTTCTCTAATTTCGACATAAATATATCTGCTAACAGGGGCCCCAGAGGGCTCCCCATCGCAACACCATCGATTTGTTTATATGCCTTTTCTTGGAATGTGAATCTAATATTTTCTGTACACATTATTAACCTTGAACTTACGTCTAGCGTATCCCGTTTGTTGGTTTATTTCGTTGTAACATTTATACTGTCTAACACACTTGAAAACTGTACTTTTAGTTGAGTATGCATACACAACAGATCACTGAATTATTTAACTTTGTATCATATTCTTATTGGCTGTACATTTTATAAGGTTCTTAATGATATTCAAAACTCCCTGACTGTTACTCTACATTGTACTTGTACCACCATACACTTTCTGACTTAATTCTAATTTTCCTTTACTGGTTATTGAATGAAAAAATTAATGAATTTAAAATTGTAGACCTTAAAGGACACTTGTTCGCTTTAATTTCTAGAATAGTGGGAAATATGTTTTCCGTGAAAAATGTCACTTCATTTCTTATTGTCAGAGTCTAACTGCTGGAGATTGAAAAATGACTGAAAATTGTTATTAAAGTGACAAACTTATTGGACTTCTTCCAATCAAGTAATGTTAGTGTTTCCATCTCTGATTTATTTCGACTGGAACATAGGACTTCAAGTGTTGACCATTGAAGTTTCAATAGCCATGGTGAAAATTTTATAGGGCTAAGTCGCTATTCGCATGTAATCGATTCTGATAACTTTATGACTTATGTTTTAATTTTCAAATTATCAGTTGTCTCTGTTTCAGTTCTAACCTTTGACTACTGCACCGGTCTTCTTCATTATTTACTGCCTAATTGACATATAGGTAATGATAATAATTACTGCCAACAAATTTATGATGTTAGCAAAAGTGGATTGCATATTAATGAAAATATAATTAAGGGCAAATATCTCTTATAAATATACTACTCAATATAGGAATTGATCCTAATCTTCCAAACTCTCTAGCTCACAATATTCGCAAAAGTTAGTATTGAGTATCATCAGGTGGAATATCCATGTGAGGAATAAGAAATACATTTGCTAGTGACTTAACAAAGAATAAAAAATCAACGATACACTCTCTTCAGTAACGAATATCTTGAAGTTGCTGAAATTAGTCAGCGAGTTCAAAGGATGTCTACGTAGACTATTATTACTATTAGTATAATAATTAATGAGTTGATGCGGTAAGAAGTACCAGAAGTTTGTTGTATTAGTGTGCGATAAAGTCAATCAGTATTCTGACACAGTTGGACATCGCAACTGTTTCTAAGCCTTACATCCATAAAGTTCAAAAAACCGGACACTACATCTCTATGATTCCAAGATAATTCTGCGGACTGGATGGAGGATCTCATCATGAGATGACATCAGTTAGAGAAACATTGGAAGTACTGGACAGCTGTTTCGTCAGCCTAGTTTTGGGATTTTTCAGCAGCGCGCGCCCACTGGGGCTAGAACCCAGGACCTTCTGGTTACAAGGCGAGCTTGAAGACCATTCAGCCACTGGGACCCAATCGAATGGCCAGTCCATGAATTCCAACTCCTGTCAATTCACGACATAGCGCGACCACTTCGCAATGTCTTCTCCAATGAGTTACTGCCTCACCTTCAACCTACTGTACCCTACTGGTCACGGCTTTCCACTAGAACCCCAGGTAACTGCCTGAATAGGGCCAATCGCTAGTGAGCATCAGATTAATTTTCAAGTATTGGTTCTGAAGGGATTTTGTTTGATTGGATGGAGTATTTCATCATGAGCTGGCATCAGTTAGAGAATAATCGTTGTACAAGGTCACACAAT